GCCGCCCACCAAGAGCCGGGGTCTGTCGGAGGTTTCTTCCGTTAAAGGGAGTTTTTCCTCCCCACTGTCGCCAAGTGCTGCTCAAGGGGGATTTGTTGGGTTTTCCCTATGTAATAATATTGATAACAGTAAGGTCTAGACCTTACTTTGTAAAGTGTCCTGAAATGACTTTTGTTGTGATTTGGCGCTATACAAATAAAATTTGATTTGATTTTGATTTGACAGTGGATCATACCATTTCCACTTCCTAATGTGAGCTTTCTGACTTTACCTGCTGTCAATAATGAATAAACAGCAAAATATTCTGATTAGAATTATTACTCGTATTTTAGATTATGTAAATTTTATTTAAACCAATAGGCCTATTTGTTATTTGGCCAAGTAGGTGCAACTTGTGCATTTTTCTCCCCAGTTTAAGCACTGCATAAAACCCTTTAAAAACAAAAGAGAACATGTGGAGTTAGATGAGAAAACAGACAAGTGACTGGTACTCTGTGGGCACTCCGTCTAAATTCCACCAGATGATGCCTCACACACACCATGTGCTGTCAGGAGGCTGATGGATGACTTCTTTCATGCTCTTCCACAAATCAAGACCAGTGGTCTGTCTGATCAAATTATCCCTGGGTGCTGCATCTGGATGTCCAGGCTTAGCTGTGTCTGTCCCTTGAATTCAATGCCCTTTCTGAGCGACCAGTCTGACTTTAGGACAACGTCCTTGATCAATAAACTGCTGTCTTACCCACAAATGTCCCCGGAGCAAGCAAATTTCTGTCTCAGTCTGCTTTGCCTGTTTGTTCAAGTACCCATAACTTAAAAATATTTTGTGACATACAATACTGTATTTTCTAAACCTAAAAAAAACAAAAACACACACACTCTGTTTTAATCAAAATTTAAACCAGAATCTCACAAACCGATGAAGAAATAACATTTCCAGTTCTCATCGCATGTCAGGTAACAGTGTTTTAGCGCTGGATATATTTCTTTATGACTGTTCAGGTAATGAAATGACAGAAGAGAAAGAAATAACCTGGGCTGTAACAAAATACCAACAGGAAGATCTGACAGAAAACATTTGTTGAGGAGTCACTAAGTTCCTAAAGAAATTGCACAGATATTTACTGTACTAGAGTGGTATGACCAAATAAATTTAGGTTATTTAAAGGAGGATTTCTAGTTTAGACAACCATTAGACCAATAGAGGATTAGACCAGGCTGGAGGCTTCATCCCTATCGAGGAGAGTGGCCTATGATTTACTTATCAAATCCACAAATGTGAACCTAGTATAAACTCAGGTCACTCAGAATACAAGTTTCCCTGTCCACCCTATGTGTCCTAATATCAGCCTCTTACCTGCTCCAGCTTCCAGTGGAATTCAGCCGGTCTGAATGTGTCCACCTGGGTGAAATCTCTCCTCAGTAGAAACACCAGGCGGCAATTATGGACATACAGTGAGTAATGATGACGGTTCATTTCTGTGGGAATGAGAAAGAGAGGAGTTGGCACCAGGGTCCAATTCACCACACCTACTCACTGTCAGGTAAAATCAGTCTGACATTTGGCTTTATGACACCTCAGAAAAGTGGGACAGCAGCATTATTTTGAAGGCCAATTTTCAGACATTTCCCACATTTTTTTTTATACCAAATTTAATAACAAAATCATCCCTAAGAGTATATCTATACACACACACACTGTATATATAAAGTATATATAAATATAAATTTTCCTTAAAAGGTGCTACCAGCTGGACACTGTAGTTTTTACCAAATGTCACTCAAAGAGGAGCCAACATTACATTACTTGGGCCTATTTTTAGCTTTGAATTTGGTGTTCTAGTCTAGTAAGTATTTAAAGCAGCAGAATGGAGTATGCAGGACTGACTAAAATAAATGAAAAAACAGCAATATGTCACATGAAAAAAGGGTTTGGATATACAGACAGAACATTTGTTGACAAGAAAGTCCATGAATGTCACTGTTAGTCCTTACCCGTCAGGTTCACACTCACCAGTCTTGTCCGAGTTACACAGCAGGGTTTCCTTCTCAGCTCTGAGCCCCGGACTGGGCCCATGTTTCATCCATGTAGCTATGGTGAACTGGTCTGTCAGATTCTGGGGTACCACCCAGTCTGGGATTTTTGCTGCCTGACGACCATCAAACCTGAATATCAAGTCACTGTCCCTCCCGCTGTCAGTCACCAGAGAAGCTGTCCAGTTGGTAGAAGCGCTGGGAGCAGGGAGAAGGTCAGTGCTGCCCGATGAGGCCCCTGGGGTCACGACCATGTCATGGAAACAAAAAAAAGGTGCATTACAAAATGTGTCAATAACAATCATGGCTGATATGCAGTGTATATTGGTCTAACCTTGGCTATGATTACTTATGAGTCAAGCAGATGGCAGGGCCTAATATGTAATCAATGGGGCGAGATGGATAGAGGATGTGGGTATTGATTCATGGCAAATGAAACTGACTTTCAAAAGGAAAGAGATGTGAATCACTGTTCACAAATTCAGAGCATAGCACACTACCTAAAAGTGCCTCTGTGGAGTCAGAGGACGTATTGACCCAGCACTACGGTAACACCAAGAGAAAAGACACAGCAAGGACTTAGTGATCATTTGACACAATAACCCCAATATGCTGCACCTTAACCCACTTTAATGCACATTTATAAATCACCTGTATCAGCTTACGGATGGTGATAAGTTAAAGCAATGCAGGATCCACGCTGTTCTGACAAAAAATGAGCGATATCAGAATTCACCGTGTCTCCCTTGTCCAATTCCAAAATACATCTGTTCATTTCTGCTAATATCACATTGGAACATTAATTGAAGTTTTTCCCCATCTGTAAAGCTCTGTTTATCCTCTACCTCACGCTCATGCCAGCGTCAACGTTTTGACTCCAGTAATTAGATTCCCTTAGTAAATAAATACGCATCGACTTCTCTGGCACCCAGCTGCAGCCTTTTCTTTGGCCGATGTCTTTGTACATTATCTCAAATTGATTGTGCTTTAAAAAAGCAATTACAATTTATTCTATTTGCTATCAGATAATGATTATGAGGTGCCTGAAAAGGACTCTTTAGTGGTAAACCATGCATGGACAGAGCCAGGGGAGGCAGCGAGGGGATGGTATGCATTCAAATGAGGTGGAATGGGGCTTTTGAAGGCCGTTAGTCAAAGATGATGACTCCAACCCCCCTGCTGGCATTGCAGTGTGGGTAGGGGAGAACGGGTAGCATCGGCTACTTTGTTAGTGCTTTGGGCACCCACACGGTGGCTCGACTGCTCATCATTCACTGAAGAGAAAGTGTGGCTGCATCCGGGGTGGCTAATGCCCTCGCTCTGTCACATCATTAGTGACAGAGCTTTAAGTTGCCATTCTGGTGCCTTCATTTAGCACAGGGATTTACCAGGGACACAAGCAGAGATAAGAAAGAAATACAGACAGAACTTTCAGATGCTGGTTTACAAAGGGCACAGAACAGGTCCTTAGGCCTTATCTGACCCTGTTACTCAGAATCTGGATTCAACTGTTGCTTTTAGCAGCAGCTTACTTCTAATTCCCTGCACTAACTTTCAGTTTGCTGCCTCAGAAGTCAGCTTTGATCAGCCATATTCTGTATATTCTACATATCCACCAGCATCCTAATAGCCACATTTCTGACTTTCATGTGATTTACTGCTACACGACAAAAACATATTGTACTTTCAGTCTAAGCCGTCTGTCATTCTGGTCACGTAAGACCGATTATGGCATGCAAAACACAACAGAAATATCTGTTTTCTGCAAAACCAACCACAAAGTTTCTGTAGAGACTTCTCAGAATAAGTTTCCCGGTCACAGCCCTTCCCCCCCCCCCCCGCCACAGGTCTCCAGGTGCATCTTAGGAAAAAGCTGCTTGCTGCCCGTTCCTGGCTCATAGTCAACTCGTTTATTCCAACCTGGGAAAAGAGGAAGATAAGTGATAGTGTTAGAGAGGATAGATCAAACTGTTGAGTCTGTTCTCTGAGAAGAAACACCAACTACCTGCAGATTAATATCTGAAATCATATCTGATTTTCAAAGCCTACTTGTTGCTTTGTTACAGTACATTTTTCACATCATTTTTTCCATTTAGGCTACCATCAAAACAAGACTCCATTTCCAGTTATTCACTGTTACTGATATTTCTGGCATCACAACTCAATACGCTTCTGGCAGAATGTGCCCGGCTAATGAAATTGCTGCATTGTTGTTGGAGTGCAGTGCAGTACCTGCATCAGTGGCAGTAGTCATTATAATGTCACTGGGTTCTGTCAGCTGTGAATTATGTTTTCTGTCCAGACAGGCTATTATTTTGCATGGCGGTGATGTTTTTGCTTTTCCCTTCATTTTTTTTCAGGTCTTTGTGGTGTGAATTTGTGTTTGTCTGCAGTCTCTGCAGGAGATAACAAGAAAACGGATGGCAGAATTATGTTACCTACTTAGTGTTTTTATGAGTTTTGTATAGCGAGTCCATCTCACCATTAATCTCAGTTTCAAACAAAGCACGTGTCATGTTTGTAACTACTTTCAACATAGATTTCCATCACTTGATGCGTTACAGCCCTGTCAACCCAGTTATTGTCTTCTGTCATACAGCAGCATCATAGATAAACTAAACTAGTTCTTTAAGAGCAAATTACACCACCTCTAAACTAACTGTGCATATGTACGCACCGTGATGTACGAACCCCAACCACTGCTGCTTTGAAATTCTGGATTAGAACAACAAATCAAATCTTTTCCCAAATTAAACGTAGCAGTGATTACTTCATACAGAAAGTTATAAACAGTATTAAATTTAGTGGGCGGTTTGCTGAATCTGTTTTCTGACCTCTGTTTTTATTATGCCATGCCCAGTATAAAAATGACCTTTTCAGATTTAGGCTGGAGAGAGGGCGTAGCAAATGTTCTACTACTAACATGCTCCATAGACAACTGGGAGTCAAATAGCCTATTGAGGACTGTTTTAACACTGCCTAGCTGCATCCACATCCTGAGAGGAAGGGCAAGACAAGGCAGAGCCTGGTTAAAGATGCATGGGAAGGAGAGCGGCAATGTGGAAGGATAAATGAGTGGTAATGGGTGGAGAATGTAGTGTGTATATAGATATGTGAGGGTTGGGTTGAGTGTGGAAGTGGGTGATTAAGGTTTATGGGTTAGACGGCATTGGACAAACATGAGGAAGAGTAAAAGGTGTTATCTCTAAGGAAAGATTAACGTGGTCCCCCCCCCTCATCACCTCTCAATAGGTTTTAATCTCATGGAGTGAATGCCTGTAGTCTATTTGTCTAGAGGGGCCAATGACAAGAATCAGTTCACGTATCATGGTACTTTCAGATACATGGATGCATAGAGATAGGCCATGTCCTGCCACACCACAAAATACATAGTTTACATATTCATTATCAACTGGACAGCTGTTACCAGTTATTTCCAGCTGTTTTTAATGTTCTTTACCTCACAATAGCTACCAGCAGTGGTAGACATTTCTTTTAGACAAATACCTTTTTATTATGGTTAGAAATGAGGTGGAGGATGTTGAAAGAGTGAGACAGCAATGAAACAGAAATATGATCTGTTACAGTACAAAAAAGAAAAGAAAAAGAACAGAGATACAATCACCACAAAGCAAAAACACTATAGTCTTCATTTCATAGACACTGGGATAACACCCACACATGTAGCTTTATATCAATAATAAATATTTGGCAGCAGCATTTATCTGTAATAACGAGAAACACTGCAACAATGGGAAAACAAAAGTCCTCTGACAAAAACTCACTGGACTGAACTGAAGTGCATTTACAGGGACAAAAAAAAGATCTATACTTGTTAAAATATCTTTTTTAATATTCACATTACTACCTATCCATCATATTTTGTGTGTACAACCAAACACAACACCAGAAAAGCCTTTGAGGAGAGACTGCATGAGAATGTGCCATTATCTCTATTTGTATGATTCACTACACGTCGCCCTTCTCTATGACAGCAGGCTTTACCCCCTACATTTGAGTGTGTTGATTTGCAACAGGTATAAACACTTTGGCCTTTAAATGTGAATCTGAAGCATACTAAAACCTTTAGTGCTTTTGTGATATAATCCAGAGAGCTCTATTTGTTTAAACTTGATTTAGGACATCTCCCCCATAAGGTACTGTAGCCTTCATAAACTACTATTTATGAGTACTTGAGTACTTACAAAACCAGCTTTGAAATGAAGTAGTTGTACTTCACAGGCACCTCAGCTCAGCTAGTGATTTCTGGAAGGTCCAGTTACAAACATTGCAGTGGAGTCCACTTATCATTCCAGTATGCTAGGACTGAAATGAGTATAAACCTGGATACTTGCATTACCAATTTGAACTATTTTATGTATGTGGTACTAAATAAGCAAAAACAAAATATCCTTTGCTATCACTCTAAATTGTGGCCAGGTGCATTGTGCTTTAGTGTTCTTTGAGATGCGTCTACCTGTAGCAAACTGAAATTGCACTAAATAGTTCATGTCTGGACAAATACCAAGACATGAAACCTAAGGAACTCTCTGTAGACATCTGCGATAAAATTGGGATGAGCCATAAATCATTGCAAGGGTAAGACCATTTCAGAAACTTTGTGTGCCCAGGACATGAGAACAATGGGCTCAATAACTGTAAATGGAAGAAGTTTGGAACCACCAGGACTCTTCCTAGAGTTGGTCATCTGGCCAAACTGAGTACTCAAAAAAGGGTCTTATTCAGGGGGTGACTGAGAATCCAGAAGTCCCTCTAACAGAGCTTCAGACAGAAGTTCTCTGCAGAGATTGGAGAACCTGTAAGGATGACATCTTAACAGCAATCCATCAATGAGTCCTTTAGGGCAGAGTGGATGGACAGATGCTACTTTGAGTAAAAGGCATATAACAGTCTGCTTGGATTTTGCCACAAGACTGAGAACATGGGGAAAAAGATTCTGTGGTCTGATCAGAAAAAGTGAACTCTTTAAGCAGAATTCTAAATACGATGTTTGGGGAACATATTGCGCTAGCTAATACTATCCCTATGAAGATAGTAGGGGGTGGCAGCATCACGCTTATGCTTATGCTTATGCTTATGCTTGTCCCTGTTGCTTCTCAGCACCAGGGACAAGTACTGGTCACAGCTGAAGGAAGGATGAATGCAGTCAAATACTGAGAGGTCTTTTCACCACAACAATGACCCAAAGCAGACAGCCAAGACAACACTGGTGTCAATTTGGGACAAAACTCTGACTATCCTTGAGTGGCAAAGCCAAGACCCAGACTTCAACGCTGTGGAGAGACCTGAAGATGACAGTTCACACATGCTTTCCATCCAGTCTGATGGATCAGCCAGGAAGAATGGTGCAAACTGCCCTAAATCTAGGTGTGCAGCTATAATTGCTGCCATAGGGGTTTCTAGAAAGGACTCTTTTGTTTTTGATTTAATACATTTGTAACAATTTCTAATTGTTTGCTGCTATCACTTTATTATGTATGATTGTCGATTGATGCGCTAAAATAGCAATTTTAACCAATTATAACAATCTCTAATGCAATTACATGTGCAAAAAGTGAAGGGGTCTGATGACTTTCTGATGCAAATGTGCTTAGGCATATACACTGCTGTGTACAGTATGTAGTGATGTACAAAGGAGGTAGGTTTCCAGCACCCTCCTTCAAACGAAGGGTGTAAAAAACAAAGGGAGGGATGGTGAAAGAAGGAAGATGGATCGAGGTGCTTAAGAAAATGATGCATCATCACACTTTCACGCTGTTCCCACTGGAGGGTGTGGAATAGCGTGTGCGTGCAATCAGTAAGTTCTTGCACACTTTTAAATGTCTAGGCAGATGTGTAGATGTGTATGGAATCGTGTGTGTGTTTGTAAAAATGCTGACACCACATTCAAGTGGTGGGGGTGGGGTGTCATTACTCGTCCCAGCCATCAGTGGTAGACCCAATTTCCATTTAAAAGAGCACTCCGCTACTCTTTTACTTCCTTCCCTTCCCTTTTCCTCTCCACCTCTGTCCTCCTCCAGCTCACTCCACTTCAGAGTGTGCCATCTTGCTGATTTCTCCTCTTCTTTCATGACTGGCCTCCTCTGGCTCTCTTTCCCCACAGTGCCAGAAACATTCATTTTCATGCTTTCATGCATGCTGTTTGTGCACAATACAAAAGACAATGTTCTTTTTTTGTATCCTGCATGCATTGAGTGCTCTTGTTTCATTGGAGTGCGAGGCTTGCAACAGAATATGGCTTGTAAAAGTGGTCGCTGAGAAAAAAAGAACATTCAAAGACCAAATGGAAGGGAGTAGAAGGCGTCTTCCCTCCTGAATGTGCCACGATGGCAGCATGATTTTATACATCTCAGGAAGGGTTTTCAAATGTTTTCAGCTGAAACCCTTCCTATCAGCTCCATTTAATACATTTTTTGCCCATATGTGTTGACCATATTACCATATGGGCTTGAATCTTGTATGTGTTTGCTGCATAACCGACTGCAGGCTAAGTCATCTGTCAATTAACCAAGGATTGGGGGGTGGGGGGGCAACTTTGTCTGCTGTTGGGCAGATAATACAGTATTGTTTTAGAACTTTTTCAGTTGTTTGTTGATGCTGAAAATGAGGTTGATGAAAGCAAAGAGAGTGAACCAAAGCATTAAAGCTGTGGGCTGCAAGACTAAAACAAGAGACTGAAAGAGGCTAAAATGTTACGTAAAGCTGGGAACTGCAGGGTTCAGTGGTCATTTTCTGCATTTTCACCGCTTATTTAATTCATTTAATACTTTGACAGTAGTATTATAAAGTCCCTAATAGGATCATTTCTGATGAAATTATTCTCTCTCATTCTGCTAGAATCTGTGTGAAGCCTCCTAAAAGGCTAAAATTTCACATCTACAGTAACTAATTCTTTATCC